ATATATATACGTCGAACAGCCGACCCAATTTTGGGTATACGACTGCGAATGTTCAACTCCGTAGCCTTGTAATTTTGAACCAATCCTGAAGGTAAGGAAACTCCTGGATCAGAGGTATTGATTTGTTATGGGATCATGGATGACTTTGCTACTCGACAGATTTAAGGTGCACCAGTCACCATTTACTACATGGGAGTCTTCGGCCGGCTGGGATCGAACCCACGAACTCTTTTGACATGGGCCCAGCGCTCTACCAACCAGATTATCCCGGCCTGTAGAGACACGTTGAAAAATGTACGACAATTTCTTGTGTTCTTCGCATATTTGAATATACAGTAGACTTATATTTTGTTTTTATAATAACCTAATTTTCAAACTTGTCCCCATGTATAATAGGTGATTTTAATAGGCCAAAGTAGAAAAAAATTGCAGAGGCAGGTGTCGCCTGGTAAGTAAGGAATCGGGCCAAAGTCCAAGAGGTCATGAGTGATCCCCTTCGACCAAAGACTCTCCTTGAAAGAAACGGTGACTGGTGCACGTGAAATCAGTCTGGGTCCCAAAGTCCTCCAAGTTCCCGGACCAAATCTCTGGGGATACCGAATAAGATATTGATCGTGCTCTGGTTCAGGTCAAAATTGTGATCCGCAGGTGGATAGATGGGGTGTCAATGAGTCCTCCCTGTAAAACGCGCTGTGACTTATGTGTGAGGCAGAAGTAGAATTCTTGACCATAGATGGCGCCACTGGAAAACAAGAGAAGCGCAACCCTTTGCATTAAAATATGCTTGTCAGTATTGACAAGTGGCAATTAAAACAACTATATGAACAAATTACAGAAGAATTAGTTGGGTTAAACGTTATAAAAAAGCATCAAATATTGTCCCATTCCCCTTTATTCGCAAAAATTAAGTAAATCATAAGTCCCTCCCATGACTACGCAGAAAACTTTCACCCCCTTACGTTTTCTTTTAACTGTAGAAATATAATCTTAGAATTTAATTCAAACAAAAGATGCAATTTTGCATGAAGCAAAATTCACGTTTCAATTCATTTAATAAAATTTTGAGTAGAATATTCTTTAAAAAGTCTTATGTATTTTCCCTCTGGGTT